ATGAAGCAACATTACCTTCCCCTAATTCCACCTTAATTTTCTTCTGCTCTTCTCATCAAAGGAAGCTGACATCATTATCCGAACTGTCTTACATGTAGGCTTTTTAAAGTCATTTGCATCTACTTGCATTTGCATGCTTTCAAACTGCTAGGCTAGCAGGAGTTGAGGCAAGTAATGGGAGCTCACCTTGTCACATAATGCTCGGGTCTCAAACACAGCCCTTCAGCTTTCCAGAGGACAAGGCTCAGCATCTTTTAACTGTTGAGCCATTGTGCCCCTCCTTGAAGTCCCCACTGTATTAATAACACATACATTTTTCAAATAATAGCAATTCATTGTCCAGGTATTTTCTTAGCAATGACATTTCTTTGTCATTGTTTCATCTGATTTTTTTTCTTTATTTTTCTTTATTTCCCAGCCTATGGATTTTTCTGGTGGTCTCCTATCCTGACACTAACCAACTCTAACCACACGTACCATTTCTGGAGTAGCTGAAGTAGGCTAATGTTGTTGTAACTGACATTGAAGTGTTGCCAGAGATTTTATCATGCAGTAACATTCTGTACACAAATAATTTGCGTTTTCCATAGTGATATTTTTAAAGCAAAGATAATATTTTTGGTCACCACATCACCGAAAAGATGTTGACAGTTTGGAAAAAATTCAGAGAAGAGCAGCTAAGATGATCGATGGCCTAGAGACTAAAACATACGAAGAACGGCTGCGGGACTTGGATTTGGCTAGTCTAAAGAAAAGAAGAAATAGGGGAGACATGATAGCAGTGTTCCAGTTTTTGAGGGGCTGCCACAAGGCAGAAGGGGACAGGTTGTTCACCAGAGCACAAGAGGAAAGGACGAGAAACAATGGTTGGAAACTGATCAAAAAGAGAAGCAACCTGGAATTAAGAAGAAACTTCCTGACAGTGAGGACAATCAACCAGTGGAACAAATAGTGGGCACTCCATCACTGGAGATTTTTTTTTTTTTTATTAAAAAGTTTTATAAATTTTACAGAAAATAAAAGACAATACAAAAACAAAAAACAACATATACAAATAAAAACAAACATTACCCAACAAAAAACCCCTTCCCCCACCCCTACCCAAACCCCCCCTTCCCCCCCCCCAGGGCCTCCCAGAGCAGAATATAGGCTTAATTAAAAAAAGTTAAAAAAATTTATATTTATAAAAAAAAGAATATAAAATAGAAAATATATATATATATAAAGTTAAAAATTATGAAAAAACTATATAGTATTTTTATATCAAATTTAAATTGTATGAATTTTATCCATTTATCCCAAACAGCAAGAAATTTCTCTTGCGTTTGACCCTTTAAGAAAGCCGAAATCTTTGCCATTTCCGCCAAATGAGACACTTTAAGAAACCATTCCTGCAATGTAGGCAAAGATTCCTTCTTCCAATATTGTCCTACTAACAGCCTCGCAGCTGTAATCAAATTTAACATCAATATAACCTCCTTTGTATCACAATCAATAACTATACCTAACAAAAATAATTGTGGAGTAAATTTTACCCTCCTTTTAAAAATTCTCTGGATATTCCACCATATCTTAATCCAGAATGCTTTTATCTCTCTGCACGACCACCACTGGAGATTTTTAAGAAGAGACTGGACAGCCACTTGTCTGAGATGGTATAGGTGCTCTTGCTTCAGCAGGGGGCTGGACTAGAAGACCTTCAAGGTCCCTTCTATTCTATTCTATTCTGTTCTACCTTGAGATGATTTATAAGCATTTCAACCCACCGGCTTCTATTTTCTTTCCTTGTGACTTAAATATTCCTTTTATGGATATTACAATATACATCATATTTTTCTTTTATTCTGAAAGGAGCCAAGAAGAGGGAAAAAAGGACCGGGAAGTCAAAACTCATTTACAGCACTTAAGAAAGAACTGAAATAAAAAAATTTTAGCCAACTCTAAACCTATAAAAATATTACATGTTGCATTAATGGAAAACTTTAGTTTTTAACTTCACCCTGGCTAGAAAACTAGTCTTTATTACAGAAGAAGAACTGTGACAATAAGAAGTAGTGTTATTAACCTATACGTCCATTCACCTTCACTGCTGAGATATACACAGTTACAATGATCATTACTATGTCAATATAAAAGTAATTATGTCTCCCTGAGCATTCTGTCTTCATGACCACTTATCTGGAAACTGCCCATTATTTGCTAATAGAGGCAAACAGAGTTCTAAAGAGAAAAAACAACTGCAAAATGATACTGTCCATACATTAGTTTTTGCCTTGAGAAAAGCACTGATTCAAGCAATTCAGGACCTCATCCTGCTAACTCAAAGCATAAGGAGGAGGAGGAGGAGGGGAGAGGAGAAGAAAGGAGGGGAGAGGGGGGAAAGGAGGGGGGAGAGGAGAGGAGGGGAGGGGAGAAGAGAGGAGGGGAGGGGAGGGGGGAAAGGAGAAGAAAGGAGGGAGAGGGGATAGGAGGGAAAGGAGAGAGAAAAGGAGGGGAGAGGAGAGAGAAGAGAACAGAGGAGAAAGGAAGGGAGAGGAGAAAGGAGGGGAGGGGAGGGGGATGGAGAAGAGAGGAGGGGAGGGGAGGGGGAAGGAGAAGAGAGGAGGGGAGAGAGGAGAGGAAAGGAGAGAAAAAAGGAGGGGAGGGGAGAGAGAGGAGAAGAGAGGAGAAAGGGGAGAGAGGAGAGGAGGGGATAGGAGGGGAAAGGAGAGAAAAAAGGAGGGGAGAGGAGAGAGAGGAGAGGAGAGGAGAAGAGAGGGGAGGGGAGGGGAAAGGAGGGGAGAGGGGAGAGAGGAGAGGAGGGGAGGGGATAGGAGGGAAAGGAGAGAAAAAAGGGGAGAGGAAAGAGAGGAGAGGAGAAAGGAGGGAAGGGGAAAGGAGAAGAGAGGAGGGGAGAGGGGAGGGGAGAGAGGGGAGGGGATAGGAGGGGAGGGGATAGGAGGGAAAGGAGAGAGAAAAGGAGGGAAGAGGAGAGAGAGGAGAAGAGAGGAGAGGAGAAAGGAGGGGAGGGGAGGAGGAAAGAGAGGAAAGATGGGAGAGGAGAGAGAGGAAAATAAAGAGAAAAAGAAAGAGAAAGAGAAGATTTGTAGCTCAGATTGGAACCATAAGGTTCTTAGTGCCCTCCGAACTTGGCTGTTTTCTTGCAGAAGTTTCATTACCCAACTAGGTAACATCATCTTATAGATGTTTCATTGCCCAAGTGGAGAACATCATCAGTTCTGATGGTGTTATTTAGCAGGGTAATGAAACATCTGCAAGAAAACAACCCAGCTCAGAGAGCCACAAGGAACTCAAAGCATGTCCACTTCTACCCTTCCACTGAGAAGATATCTTCTCCTCACACAAAGCCTCTGTGCGGGTCAGGAAGACACAATATGGCCACAATAGGGCATACAGTAACAAACTAGCTCCACTGTGGCAAAGGAATATGACAAGTCTGTATATTCTCCCTTTAATTATTCCTTCAATTTATATTGTGAATATATATTAAGGCAGGGGTCCCCAACCCCCGGACCATGGACCAGTACCGGGCCGTGGCATGCCAGCAACTGGTCCGCACAAACAAGCAAAGATCCATCCGTGGGGTGCAGGCAGCACACAAAACCACGCACCCTCCGGTCCATGGAAAATCCTCTCTCCATGGAACCGGTCCCTGGTGCCCAAAAGGTTGGGGACCTCTGTATTAACGGGAAAATGCAGTGGTGGGATTCAGCCGGTTCGCACCACTTTGGCAGAAGCAGTAGCTAATTTTTTGTTGCCCAGGCCCAGAATGGACTTCCGGAAGTGGCATCCACACAGAGAATCGGTAGTTCACATGTTTGAATCCCACCAGTGGGAAAATGGAAGGGAAGATAAGCATTTCTCCTCTCATCAATTGCCACTCCCTAATCCCCTTCTCTTTAGAAGGCCAGATCCTGAAGTTGAAACTCAAGTACTTTGGCCACCTAATGAGAAGGAAGGACTCACTGGAGAAGAGCCTAATGCTGGGAAAGATTGAGGGCAATAGAAGAAGGGGACGACAGAGAATGAGGTGGCTGGATGGAGTCACTGAAGCAGTAGGCGTGAGCTTAAATGGACTCCAGAAGATGGTAGAGGACAGGAAGACCTGGAGGAACGTTGTCCATGGGGTCGCGATGGGTCGGACACAACTTCGCAACTAACAACAACAATCCCCTTCTCCCTATAGGTACCTCTGCTCAACCAGCCATTCCTGAAGTGATTTAGAATCTCAATATTCATTATTGTAAAAACGGTTGCATAGCATCGAAAAGATGCTATGAATTGCTAGGGGAGGAATAACTGAAGATATAACAGAGCAAAGAAGAAACCTAATATAGGTAGTCCTCAACTTACAATCGTTCATTTAATGACTGTTTGAAGTTACACCACTGAAAAATGTGACTTACAATATGATTGTTTCTCATAGTTACAAGCGTTGCAGCATCCCCATGGTTATGTGATCAAAATTCAGACGCTTGGTAACTGACTCACATTTATGACGGCTGCAGTCTCCCGGGGTCACGTGATCCCTCTTGCAACCTTCTGACAAGCAAAATGAATGGGGGAGCTGGATTCACTTAACAACCGTGTTACTAACTTCACAACTGCAGTGATTCACTTAACATCTGTGGCAAGAAAGGTTGTAAAATGGGGCAAAACTCACTGAACAAATTGTGGTTGTAAGTCAAGGACCGCCTGTGTAAGCAAAGAAAGAAATTATAAATTGTCTCAGACATTTAGGCTGGGGTGTTTGGTCAGCCCCATTGCGTGATTGGTCGGTTAATTGCTGCTTCATATTGACTGAAAGTTGGAATAATCTATTTCGACCTTTGGCCTATGATGTATTGATTGACTACGATCCTATGTGTTTTTTTAAAAAAAAAATAGAGTTATTTTCTTTTCTGCTTTTAGTTTCTTGTCAGACACCCAGTAGCAAGAAAGCCAGCTGTGTAAATATCTTACATAAATACACGAAAATAAATTTTTCCCCAACAGCTTACCTTTGCAACGTTCTCTGTGGAACAGTGATCTGGTTTCCCCTTCTCCCGATGTCCACCTGCCTCTGATTTGTCAGACGGATCTGAAACTGCCGTCTAGAAAAGAAAGACAGGTGCCTGTCAAAGAGTATCCACCAAACACTCTTCCCAACAACCAGATTCACTTTTCCTACAAAACGATGTTCCGTTTTAATTCTGTTAAACGGAATTAAATTAGTCATAGCAGATTAAATTATTCATAACAGAATAACAGAATACCAGAGTTGGAAGGGACCTTGGAGATGGTAATAATAATAATCATCATCATCATCATCATCATCAAACATCCACATCTGCCTATCCCAAGTCCTTGGTAAGGACTCGATAGGTAGACAAAATGCCAAATTCAGTCTGAACATCTGGCTGACTGTGCGATGATTCATAATAATAATAATAATGATGATGATGATAATAATGATAATCAGTAAGTGCCGCCTATGCAAAGAAGCTGAAGAAACAGTGGACCACTTGGTAAGCTGTTGCAAGAAGATTGCACAAACTAATTACAAGCAGCGGCATGACAAAGTAGCAACAATGGTGCATTGGAAGATCTGCAAAAAATATCATTTGCCTATAAGCAAAAACTGGTGGGATCATTAAATAGAGAAAGTCATAGAAAATGATAAAATTAAACTGCTCTGGGACTTCAGAATTCAAACAGACAAGCACCTGCAACATAACACCCAGACTTAACAATTGTCGATAAGAAAGACAAAAAAGTCTGGATAGTGGACGTGGCAATGCCTGGAGATAGCAGAATAGACGAGAAAGAACTGGAGAAGATAACAAAATACAAAGACCTACAAATAGAAATAGAAAGACTGTGGCAAAAGCAAGCAAGGGTAGTACCAATAGTCATAGGCTCCTTGGGTGCAATCCCAAAACAACTGGAGCACCACTTTAACACCATTGGCATTGACAAATTCGCTATTAGTCAATTGCAAAAGGCGGCCTTATTAGGAACTGCTTCCATCCTGCGACGATATCTGTAATACCATCAAACATCCACATCTGCCTCTCCCAGGTCCTGGTAAGGACTCGATAGGTAGACAAAATGCCAAATCCAGTCTGAACATCTGGCTGACTGTGCGATGATCCATAATAATAATAATAATAATGATAATAATAATGATAATAATAAAGTTGGACAGGACCTTGGAGGTCATCTAGTCCAACCCCGTGCTCAGGCAGGAAACCCTGTACCATTTTGGACAAATGGCTGTCCAGTCTCTTCTTAAAAACTTCCAGTATTGGAGCATTCACCGCTTCTGGAGGCAGGTTGTTCCAATGGTTAATTGTTCTAACTGTCAGGAAGTTTCTCCTTAGTTCTAGGTTGCTTCTCTTCTTGATTAGTTTCCATCCATTGCTTCTTGTCCTGCCTTCATACATCTTGGAGAATAGCTTGACTCCCTCTTCTTTGTGGCAGCCCCTGAGATATTGGAACATATCATGTCCCCCTCGTCCTTCTCTTCATTAAACTAGACATACCCAATTCCAGCAACTGTTCCTTATATGCTTTAGCCTCCAGTCCTCTGATCATCTTTGTTGCTCTTCTCTGCACTCTTTCTAGAGTCTCAACATTTTTTTTACATCGTGGTGACCAAAACTGGATGCAGTATTCCAAGTGTGGCCTTACCAAGGCATTGTAAAGTGGTATTAATAGTTCATGTGATCTATATTCTATCCCTCTGTTAATGCAGCCCAGCACTGTGTTGGCCTTTTTGGCAGCTGCAGCACACTGCTGGCTCATATTTAGGTGATTGTCCATTAGGATTCCGAGGTCCCTCTCACAGTTACTACTATTGAGTAAGGTACCTCCTATACTATACTTGTAGGTCTTCTAGTCCACCCCCTCCTCAAGCACGAGACGCTACCATTTCAGACAAATGGTTGTCCAGTCTCTCCTAAAAATTCTCCAGGGATGAAGCACCCCCAACTATTGGTGGCAAGCCGTTCCATTGATTAATTGTCAGGAAATTCCTCCTTTATTCCAGGTTGCTTCTCTCCTGGATTAGTTTCCATCCATTGCTTCTTGTCCTGCCTTCGGGTGCTTTGGAGAATATTTCTTTGCCCTCTTTCAACCAATAACCATCTTGCAAGGATACATAATGCAAACTGTTTATTCAGTGCATTACTATAAACAGCCACAATATGGCATTTCCTGGGAATAATTCCATTTACTACCCTGCCTGTAGTGTTAACAGCCATCCTTAGAAAACAGTTGTCCTTGTTTTGAAAATTCAGTGGATGGGCTTTCGAGTAGTAAACCAACATATTAAATCAAGTCACATTTTTATTATGGCCATAAGGCCCACAGTCAGACACAAAACGAAACAAATGAAAATGAATATATAAACTAAAAGAATATATGTGCGCTAAAAGAAAGGATATCAATACAATTCTACAGCCACACACACAAAAAATGGATGACAGAAACAGAGGAACGGAACTGGGCGACCTCCCAAGGATATATCTGAACATGATCTGATTCAATTCGATTTAATATAAGGAATATGTTATATTTTCTAGTAATATCTCAGGGAAATCTGTGCCCTGATATATTGATGCTGATTTTTTTTTCTTTATAGGAAGTCCTCGACTTACGACAACTGAACCCAAAAATTCCTGTTGCTAAGTGAAGCTTTTAAAATGAATGATTAAAAAAAGGGTTTTTTTTTCCTGTAAAAATTTGAAAGAATACAGGTAGTCCTCAACTAATAATCACAACAGAGCCCAAAATTTCTGTTGCTGAATGAGACCTTCGTTAAGTGAAGTTTGTCCCATTTTACGACCTTTCTTGCCACAGTTGTTAAGTGAATCGCTGTGCTGTTAAGTTAGTAACACGGTTGTTAAGTGAATCTGGCTTCCCTCCATTGACTTTGCTTATAAGAAGGTCGCAAAAGTGGATCACATGACCCCTGGAACTCTGCAACCGTCATAAATGTGAGTCAGTTGCCAAGCGTCTGGATTTTTTTTTTTTATAAAAATATTTTTTATTGAATAACAAAAATTAAAAACATTGAGCATGGTAAATCAGATTTGACATACATCACAGTTCATATTCACAATTAACTACTAATATAAGAAAAAAAAACTTTACAATAACATCACTCTAATCTCAATCTTAACTTATCTCATTACAATGACTTCCATATTTTTTCCCTCACCATCTATAAAATTTACTCCAAATTTGGTAAAAATCCGTTTCATCCTGATTTTTGAGTCTCTTAGTTAACCTATCTACTTCTGCACAGTGCATAATTTTATGAATTAAGATTTCCTCACTAGGTATAGCCGTAGCTTTCCAATTTTGAGTGAATACAATTCTTGCCGCTGTAACCACATGAGTAAATAAATATATATCTTCTTTACTAACATTATTTTCAAGAATTCCTAACAACAATGTCTCAGGCTTATACTGGATGTTTTGCATACTCATTTCTGTTACCCATTCCCAAACCATACGCCAATATCTCTGTGCTTCCTTACATAGCCACCAAACATGAAAGCGTCTGGATTTTGATGACGTGACCCTAGGGGGATGCTGCAACGGTCGTAAGTGTGAAAAAAGGTCATGTCACTTTTTTGGGTGCCATTGTAAGTGAATGGTCACTAAATGAACTGTTGTAAGTCAACAACTACCTGTATTTGGGAGAGCTCCCTAATTAGGACATTTAAATACCATTGCTTTGGGTGAGAAAATAACAATAATAACAACAACAACAAAGTTGGAAGGGACCTTGGAGGTCATCTAGTCCAACCCCCTGCTCAGGTAGGAAACCCTATACCAGGGGTATCAAACTGCCAGCCCGCGGGATGGATGCATCATAGCGAAACTGCGTCCACCCCATTGCCGGCAATGGCAAAAAAGTCACAACACGTCACGACACGTCACGAGTTTGACACCCCTGCCCTGTACCATTTCAGACAAATGGCTGTCCAGTCTCTTCTTAAAAACTTCCAATGTTGGAGCATTCACTGCTTCTGGAGGCAGGTTGTTCCACTGGTTAATTGTTCCAACTGTCAAGATTAATTGTTCTAACTGTTAGTTTTGGGTTGCTTCTCTCCTTGATGAGTTTCCATCTGTTGCTTCTTATCCTGCCTTCAGGTGCTTTGGAGAATAGCTTGACTCCCTCTTCTTTGGGGCAGCCCCTGAGATACTGGAACACTGCAATCATGTCAGTGGTAATCCTTCTCTTACCTCATGTAACCGTGAAACCTAAAAGTTATTTTAACAGTCTCCATCTCATACCCAGCCACTGCTAAAATACATTTTCAGTTGTTGATGACATACTGTACGACTGCTGTGTTCTCAGATAGCTCTCTAATCAGAATTACCATGTTCCTCCTGCTTTTTAATTACTGAATCTTAGGCTAGTGCATAGTTCATGGTTCCAGCACCCAATAAATAAAATATGGTATTTAATCACTGGCACAGCAAAGGGAGGAATTAACCCATGATGCAAAGGGAAGAGAGCTATTTATGTGATCCTACTACCAGCCAGCAAAAATGGGAATTGCAGTAAACCCAATTGATTAAATGTAAACAAAAATATAAAGAGAAAACATTATAAACTAACATCAAGAACATGGGAATGGTGAAGTCTGAAAAATAGTCCAAAGGAATTTCTTAGTGTAGCACCCACAACGTCTGAAGACAAGCTCTTCCACTGGTTAATTGTCCTCACTGTTATAAAGTTTCTCCTTAATTCCAGGTTGGTTCTCTCCTTGATTGGTTCCCATCCATTGTTTCTTGTCCTGCCCTCTGGTGCTTTGGAGAATAAGTTGACCCCCCCCCTCTTCTTTGTGGCAGCCCCTCAAATACTGGAATACTGTTATTATGTCACCCCTAGTCCTTCTTTTCTCTAGACTGGCCATAACCAAGCCCTGCAGTCATTCTTCATATGTTTTAGTCTCCGGGCTTTTAATCATCTTAGTTGCTCTTCTTTTTCCAAAGTCTCGACATCTGTTTTGTCATGTGGTGACCAAAACTGGACACAGTATTCCAGGTGTGGTCTTACTAAAGATTTAGTTTAAAGCAGTGGTTCTCAACCTTT